TTACGACTCCTCATTTGTACATTGTCCAAAGCATTGATTGCATCGAGTGGGGGCTATTTGGTTCTTGCGTGTTGTGATAACAGTTCTTATAATTATGTTCTACATAGTATAGTGTGGTAGCACATATTCCATTTCATCACATGATGGTGGTATCTTGCAGATTTCAACGTGCTATCATGATTCGGACTATCGATAGGGATAGAGTGAGGCCAGCGCTGTAAGAATTTGGGCAGCAAATTCAGTGTCTAGCTGTCTACTTGTCTACTAGATACCCCTTACTAGTGGTGAGGAGAGTTTGTTGACGCTTGAGTTGTCCTGTGGAGACCAACCATGTGGGATACATCCAATCACTAGAAATGATTAATAGTGGCAGCAAGCCAACGCACAGCTTTCATCGTTATTCTACATGTCTTGTCTGCAGACTGTGTCTCATTTGGCGTTCCTTTATCTTCTTCTTCCCAAAACTTGTCCCTCTAGAAGTGTTCGAAGTGTTCGCCGGTGTCTGATTAGCAGAGATTCCATGCACATTATTGTGTCCGTCCCGTGAGGTTGCCGGGGTGAGGATCTCCCAGTTCCACTCCTGACGTTCTGCCGCTTGGATCGAGTCAAAAATCACCAACGCGAGCTTAGAGAAGATCACTTAGACGTGTTTTATCCTCGTCATCCTCAGATCAGCCCGATCTTCATCATATTTCGACAGAGCCAGGCCTGCTGTTGTCACTCCCTTGCGGTCACTGCACCTCTCGTCCACTGCGACCGTGACTGATATCTTGACTCTTCGAAAGAGACCATGTACAAAAACATCAGCAAAAAGGAAAGATTGACCGGCTGTCCGCAGTAAATATCGACCACGCCTTCCCCATAACTATTGCACTGTTTGGAGCTTTCTGGTTCCGGTTAGGCTGGCGGAAGCTATACCAAATACCCAACTGCTGTGTGTGGACCCCTTCGATCGCGGGGAGAGCAATCTTTTTCCTCACTGCTGCAGCCTGTACGGACAACGGAGTAGAGTGCAGGCAGTTTCTGCTTGTATTACTCGCGTCTACCTGCTCATTAATCCTTTGCATATTTTTCCTGCTCTAGGTCGTTCCCTATTTTCCTTCTCAGGGCCGGTAGTCTTTCCCTTTACATCTCTCACTTTGTGTTGAGAGGTGTGCCTAACCTGTCTGCCACTCTTTTGACCGAGACCACTTCGTCCTACGGATCTTACGATCGTGCTTCTTGTTACGGGTTATGTCATGTGCAATACGACTGGACTTTTGAGCGACACGGCTGGAACCCGCTCATTTGGCAATACACAATATTGAAGGCCGTTGAGGGTTACGCTGCTTGCCCACGATGGTCAAAGCGGACGTGCGGAGGGATTATTATGCGGACTTGGGTTTGACGCCCAGCGCAGACGCTGAGGACATCAAGAAGCAGTTCAGGAAATTAGGTAAGGCGAGGAGATTGCTTGCAGGGCTTCGTTTGCGAGACTTGTGTGGTTAATATAATTCTCAGCCCTCAAGTACCATCCCGATCGCAATCCAGGCCGGGAGCTCGAGTTCAACGCGAAGTTCCAGGCTATCCAAGCGGCCCACGAAATTCTCAGTGACCCCCAACAGCGCCTTAGATACGATACAGATCGACTACGTGCTGGATACGGCAAGCTTTATGGTCCACCCAAAGCGAATACGTCTCGGAAAACTCCTGCAAACCCTTACACCTCCGCATCCACCGCGAAGCCTCAGACTCCTAAACCGCCGTTCTCAGGTCGCCCGCAATCTTTTCATAATGGGCCCTCGACCGGTGCCCAGCGATATGCGAGCTATGCGAGAGCGGCTCCCAAGCAGCCGTGGGAAAAGACGCCGGATGAAGGACAGACCAGAGCCGATGCGTATCGAGGGTTTCAGGAGATGAAGGGGAACTCGACACCTGGATGGTCTCATTTTGATCCGCGTACTGGACGAGAAGGGTATACGGGGACTGCCCCTCGACCGAATGCCACTCCTAACGGGCACCCCACTAGACCGAAGTCCGCATACGAGTACTTCAAGACATCCCCTAAATCCACCACCAACGAGTCATTCCGTACCCAGTCTGCACGGAAGAAGCAAGGCTTCGCTCCCCGGACTGCTGGCGGGGACGAACCCATGGCTGCAAATACATCCTCCTACACAAGCGTACCTCGAAGGGAGCGCTTTCAGGCGACCGACAGCTTCCAACGGGAAACTGCCCCGTCCCCAACGGCGGAGAGACCTGCGGCAACGTCCGGCTATCGAGCTGAGAACACCGGGACTCCTGATTTTGAGCGAACAGGCAGTAAGTATGCCAGTACCGGCGGCGAGCGGACATTTTTCTCGAGTTCCTGGCTGCGTTCTGAAGGTGTACGCAATTCACCCAAAATCTCCAGCGCTCAGTCGCGGACAAACCCCCCAAGTCCGACTCCTCCTCCTACTGGGAGACATAAAAGCGCCAGCCCTAAGTTGCGTAGTGACAGAGGACGAAACTACGACTCCACAAGCTCAAGTGGCACCGAGGATGATTTCGTCTCTCGCAAACCAAAGGCGGTTCCCAAGAGCAGGCTGCAAAACCACAAATTTGCCAATCCTCGTTCTCAGAATGCTCCTACTCCTAGGACGGGTAAGCCTCCTCCTCTTTCTCAATTGACAAGCTCTCGATGACTTTGTTTCTACTGGCCTAATGAATATCCCTTAAATCGGTCCATGCCTATTCGGGTGCTAACAGATACTACCAGACCCCGCCAAGCCAGCATCGTCTGAAAATATTTTCCGTGCATTCTCGTCAAACTCGTATGAGACCTCTCTATATTGTAACTCTCAGGCTGACTTCTTCAACTGTAGAAATCTGGCGTCTAATGATGGCCAAGCACCACCAAATGGAACTTTCAAGAGTAGCAGTCACGATGATTTACGCAAACCATTTACTGCGGATAGTTGGAAAGGCGATTTTGGGTTTGGTTCATTCACATCAAGCACGGCAGGGAATGGCCGACCTGAGTTCAATAATCGTCCGAACAGCCGTGGACGAACCTCGACAAGAGCGAGTCCTTCAAGAGCAGGCCATCCGGGTCCATTCAGCCAGGATTCGTCTCGGTCGGCGTCCATTTCACAGCAACCGCCCACAGCGTTTCCTGAGGCAAAGTTCTCTGTGGACGAGTGGGCTGCCAAACTGAAGGATGTACGGTGGACCATGCCGCAAAACGAGGAAGCCTCTCAGCAGGCGAATACTCAGCGCCAACGAAGCCCTAAGAAGCAGACCAAATCCGGGTTTAAGATGCGACCTACACCGCAACCTGCCAGTGTTGCAACAGAGGCGGAAGAGTTCCAGACGACTGTCGGAGGTAGCGCGAAGCAGCAGGCGACCGGTATAGGTGCGGAGGAGGTGGAAGCCATGGACCTCGATGATGATATCCCTGGCAAAAACACGGATGCAGCTTTTCAAGCAGACAAAGCATCCGAAGATCAAGTCCCTCAGCCGTCTTCAGGTGTTGGCAGCAAAGACACAGGTGCCAATTCTAAGTCTCGTCTATTCAACCTGAATGACCTAGGCAGCACTGCGCCATTTACCAGCACAAATAGTGGTGGCATTGAGGATTTGCAGGATATCCATGCGACGCTACCCTTTGAGTCCCGCGCGAAGGTCCCAAGGACGACGGCACGGGATGTTCGTCCCAGGCGGCTTATTTGCCCAAATCCACCGAAAAGGCCCAGCCCACCGGAACTAGTTCCAATCAGCGCAGGGTCGCAGCAACTCGGACTGCCTCGAGGTGCATGGGACCGTTATGTTGCGGAGATGGGTGCCTACATCCGAGAGTGGAACGCTTTCAATCGTCGACTTCTGCGTCACTTCAACGCACGCCAGGATGCGATGGAAACAGGAATGGCCCCCAGGTGGATTGGTGCTGTTGGAGATTCGGCACGTATTAAGATCAACGAGCCGAGTGGCGAGGATGATGAAAAGGTGGTTCATGAAGACGACGATGATGCTGAGAGCGACGATGCTATGGTGGCCGGAAGCGCCAAAGCAGGATTCAGTGCTTATTTGCGTGCATTTGACGAGGATGAAAGAGTGCACAAACATTGGGAGGTCGCTCGTGAGAACCATCGCAAATGCATAATGGAGCTCGGCAGGATGCGCGAATGGATCTTGAACGGAGGAAAACTGATATAGGGTGGATAGATATACCCCTACGACTTTTCTTGCCTACAGTCTTTTCGCATGGCATGGGTGTTGGCGGTTCGGCGTTCTGAAATGGTTGGGCCTGTTCTACAGTTAGGTAGCCTCTTGTGTCAATCATGTATTTTTAGGAGCGTTCTTCCACCACAGTTAGAGAGGGGGTTTCTCTAGGACTGAGCATGATAAGTTGGATATGCTCAATCTACCCTCGAGGAAGTTATGGATATCTTGAATTCATTCCGAGCCCTAGCCCTGAGCCCCGAGCCCTTAATTCCGATATCGGCATCTTCTGACATCCGCCACCTTCCCGATTCAGCCAAGTGCCCCTCGGACCAGTCCGGTAACAGTGTGACAGAGTGCTGGGGCCAGATTGGCTGGCTGATGAGGAGAGTAAGGTGTATGGTATTGTAACAGACCCTGATTCGTTGTCTGCCGCTGAGTCACAGCAAGAGGAGAAAAAAGTGAGACTCATATATCGCCCGCGCCTCCGCGGTTCCCCCTCCGTCCGTTTTTTCGGCTTTTGGATCTTTGACAGTCGCGAAGCCTTCGCTGCTGCTCCATTCACCTTCCCTGCAAACGGGTCGGGAATTATTTGACGCTCATCAGTCAATTGACATTTCCTCAATTTGCCTCTCGAAAAAGAGCCGATTCAATTCGTGCAGTTCTGGTCTAAAACTACAGCCACACCCCGCCCCGTCATTGCAAGTACCGAAGCCGATCTTTTGACGTATTACCATCGAGAGCCATCTGGTCATCGTCAATTGATCAATTGAAATACAACATATCACGGCAATTGCTCTAATAAGATTCTCTCTGCTACGATGGGTATCACGATCGTTCTGGGTAGCCAGTGGGGTGATGAAGGTGGGGCTTGATGAACATTGTTGCGTTTGACATGGACGGCATGCTGATGGACGCTGTTGTCGGATAGGAAAGGGGAAGATCACAGATATGCTTTCGCAGCAGGCTACGCTCTGCTGTCGTGCTGCTGGCGGCCACAGTGAGTATAAGACTTCTCCGCGGAGTTTGCAAACCTAACTTTTTTTTCCTTTCGCCAGATGCGGGCCACACCATTGTCCATGACAACATCACTTACGACTTCCACATTCTTCCCTCTGGATTGGTGTCTCCCTCCTGCGTTAACCTCATCGGCGCTGGAACTGTTGTGCACGTTCCCAGCTTCTTCAAGGAGCTGGCCTCGTTGGAGGAGAAGGGGCTGAAGGATGCCGGCAAACGCATTTTCATCTCCGACCGCGCGCATGTCTGCTTCGATCTGCACTCCGTTGTTGATGGTCTGGAGGAGGCTAAGCTGGGTGGTCGCAAGGTCGGTACCACCGGTAAGGGTATTGGTCCTTGCTACAGTGACAAGGCTGCCCGTCGGGGTGTCCGTATTGGCGAGATTCTGGACGAGACGGTCTTTGAGCGCAAGCTGCGGTCTTTGCATGCTGGATATACTGCGAGATTCGGTGACCTGGAATATGATGTCGAGGAGGAGATTGGTCGATTCAAGGTATTTTAACTTGCGTTCCGGCAGGTACATGGTTTGAAGCGTTTGATGATACTGACGCAATGGAATAGGACTACCGGAAACGCTTGGTCCCCTACGTTGTCGACCAACTTGCCTTCTTCAAGCAGTACAAGGACTCGCCGAACACTCTCGTTGAGGGCGCCAACGCTCTCATGCTCGACCTGGACCACGGAACCTACCCCTACGTGACCTCCTCGTCCACCGGTCTGGGTGGTGCCGTCCAGGCTCTGTCCCTCAACCCTGCCAGCATCACCTCCGTTATTGGTGTGGTCAAGGCGTACACCACCCGTGTCGGCTCGGGCCCCTTCCCTAGCGAACAGTTGAACGAATACGGCGACAAGCTGCAGTCAGTCGGCAGGGAATTCGGTGTCACCACCGGCCGTCGTCGTCGCTGCGGGTGGTTCGATCTCGTCCTCTGCCGCTACTCCCAGGCGGTCAACCACTACACCGCGCTGAACCTGACCAAGCTGGACATCTTGGACGACTTTGACGAGATCAAGGTCGCAGTTGCCTACGTCCTTCCTGACGGAACCCGCCTGACCGACACCTACCCGGCCAACGCCGATGTCCTTGAGAAGGTCAAGGTCGAGTACGTCACTCTGCCGGGCTGGAAGAGCAATACAATGGGTGTCAAGAAGTACGAGGACCTTCCTGCCAATGCCCGCGCCTACATCGAGTACATTGAGCGGGAACTGGGCGGTGTACCTGTAAAATGGATCGGTACCGGGCCCGCCAGAGACCACATGATCTGCCGGGAGTAAATGCCTGAGCAGTCGAGCTGTCGACTGACGGTGCTGATGGACATGGTCTTGATCGTTGATGACGGAGGCCTACAAAACTAGAAGTCTTTCTGGGATATTACTGTTTTTGCTTATATTTGTGTATATGAATGGATAGACGAATCTGATGAATATTGCTTTACTCTGACGTGCTTGCTTGCTTGCCTGCAATATGGATTGGTCTTCCTGAAGGATACCGCTGGACCAAAAGGTGTCCGGACGATGCACTCCTCAGTCTAGGGGGTACATATTACAGTCATGGTGGTATAATATTTAACAGAGGATGATTCCATCTCCCAGAGAATCCCAGGAAATACACCATGGTTCTCCAACTGATTCACTCGTCGACTTTTCCTCCTCAGATATTATCTCTGTTTCTTATATTCATATGCGAACTTGGCTAGAGAAAAGGCATAACATAATATATGCAGTTTCTAGCTCGAGTCAATTTGTCCGGATATTCTTCTCATTGGACTATAATAACCCCTATAATGCATTTATTGCCGTTACTACTGGCCAATTGCAAACTTGTCAGGGACGTGGAATCCTTCAGGACTCTCTTAGCTTCAGACAAATGCTTCCTGAATACGGGACGAGACCTTGAACAGTCTGGTTATTTCGAGGAGTAGCCAGAGTGCCTGAAATAGGACGAATTGGGCGGGATTAATTCTTGGTCTGACCGCAGATCCCCCAAACTGCTCAAGGTCTTTTCCTTGAGCTTATGGCTCTTCCAAAGCTCTGCCAGGAATCTCTGCGAGGGGCCTTCTCTTGTAGCCGTTGTCGGGATCGGCTCGTCTGGAATAGACTTGCCTATCCTGTGTCATAGTGCATATACTTGAAGTCATGCGGATTTGACTTGTTGCTCCCAGAGTAGCAATCCACTACGACCGGGTAGCTGGTCCTCATAGCAGGGGGCGACTCCAATGTATCATGGAATCTTGTTGTCGTCACAATAGCCGTTCATGAGGAGGCCCGCAGGGTAAGTAAACCCAAGAGGAACCATGATAGCGTTCCAGGGTAACCGTATCCATACCACCATTGCAATCAACTCCTTGTCTGTCTATCTTCACCTTCGGTTAAAAGGCAAGGTTATGCCTGTGACCCATCATTGCAGCCAGTTGAGACAGTAAAATTATCTCCAGCACCTTTGTAGGATCATCGTTCTGATATGGCTGGGGTGGGCATACCACAGAAGGGAGATATGTGATGACCATTGCAAATCAACCGCGGTTTATCACCACATGCACGACGTTGGTTCAAGTCTACCCCGCATACTTCCCCCTTTTCATGCTGGCGGTTCCTGCACATGTATTAGTTATATCTTTTGGAAACTGATGCTTCATAAGGGGAAGACAGACCTCAGGAGGGCTAAAGAGGTATGTCTCTGCACATGCCCCAATTTTACTTCCCTGTCTCTGCCCATTTCGCAAGATCGAAGGGGAGCAGTTATACCCTTAGCCAGCTAACTTAAACAGCCCATCGTCTAGCAGCCGGGAGCTGCCCTTTTTCAGACGTACATCCATGTGCCTGTGATTGTCTTATCCCAATAATACTTACGGCGATAGTCGCAGCAGAAAGAACTTCGATAGGAGCAACACTGGCAGGAACGATGAATTCTTCCAGGTCAATAACCGGTTCCGTAGTGCCTCCAAAACAAACCCAGGTCTTGTTTAATGATCCGACATCTCCCCCTTGTGAGGCCCCAAGCACGGTGTTTTCTAGGTGCACTGGAATACCCTCCGGCGTGACAATTGGGTTATCACTGTTAGTGGGATCTTAATAAGGATTCTCCCCAGTAGAATCCTCTAAGAGCATTCTGCCGTCTCTCTGAAGACCTCGAAGCCCTTGAAATATCTCACCCCCTCACAAGTGCGGGACCAGGGATGTGAAAGTTCCAAACTTGTGGGCCGTCGGGGAATGTCTTCAATGGAAGACCACTGTCGTTGGAGTCGAGACCATATGCTGATTCTTTCAGTGCGAATTCATGTACTTCAACCAGTCCGAACGAGATGTGGGCGCGGCTCAAGTTGCTCCAAGCTCCATTCGTCCAGTCCCCAATCAGACATTGCTTTAGGGCTCTGGCGGGCGAACCGCAGAGTATATAATACTCCCCGAACACAACATAGTATAGCTTGTCGTCATGGCGTATGTGCACTGTTGGGATCCTTCTAACAACAGTTGAGCATCACTTTTCAAGTCCTCAAAACTCTCACTATAACCAACTTCTAGTGCAATTGTTGGAAAGCGTCGGCCTGATACATATACTGCACCATCGCAAATTTTCTGACTAGTATAGCGTTAGTAAACCGCCCATAAAACACTTAACGGGGCTATGGCTAGGCTTACGAGGCCCGAAATTTGCTCATAAACCCATTAACTATCGCTTCGCCGTAGGAACCAATCAACATGGGATCAAGGCCTTCAGATATGATTATGTTTTCAATCCATGCATGGATTTAGCCACCTAACACAACCAGAACGGATCAAAGAAGGTGACATGACACGAAGGACACGAGAATGTGAATTAAATGAGTACCTACACCTATTGTAAGGTTATTAGACCACATATAATAAGGAAATGAACTTACCGCAAGTGTCATCGATTGAGTACCTCGAGGATGTCATTAGTCCACAAAGTGATCTGTGTCGTAAATACACCACCACATTCATTAAGTTTCTCCTCCATGGAGGAGAGAAACTCTTTACCGGCGGGTTTGGATGTCTTTTGCGGGGGGTGTCGTCAGACACTCGTCCCGAGCCCCCTGGACAAGATGTCCGTCGTTGTCCATTCGTACTATCCTGCTCCTATTCCGCAGAGGAACAGGAGTAATGAAGATCATAATTGGTTCCATTTCTTCTTTTTTGATAAGCATATGAGAGTTGAGTTTGTCAGTTGTAGATGTATGTCCTGATAGAGTCTTATATATCGAAGCCTGGCAGGGAGATCAGCAGTATGAGTGAATATATCTAAGTATATTCACTGTGCTATCCATATGAGTCTTTAAATACGGTATATCTCTCATGATGTCTCACTTTTCATTCCTAAGTGAATGCATCTAGCATGTATCACTATGGCTATTTACGGAATCTGTGAATGAAGTATGAAGTGTAGATCTCCTAAACGCAATGGCAGGCCACCTTCCTCTTGGACTCTCTCACTACAGGAGTATATGGACAAAACCAGGGCTTTTTGGTCATATCATTCATTATAAAATCAGTTATCTCTATATCACACCTATATACAGATAGTCCAAACGCCGTCTATAAACATGAATCATTAAACCACCTACATTTAACATTAAGGCTTATGGCCGATTAAGCTGCTCTTTACGGTAGAACAAGAGGAATCCAAAGCTGTATCCAGTTAGCATATAGCCCGTCAGAACATAAACGAGACGGAGTCTTACCTGGCCAAAAGCTGGAAAAACAAGGCAATCCAGAACCACGCATTGGCAATCTTATCCACCGACGTGCCGACATTCGGCGAGATACCGTCCGGACCGAGCCTATTTGGTGCGAATCCGCGCGCGCAGATGGTAGCTATAGATCCCACGGCCTGCGCAGCCAGGAGGACAAAGCAGACGTGCACTCTTGTCAGGGTCTGCAGGAGGATCATACCCAGACCAACCTGCTGGATCTCATCGAGGACGCCGAGCCAGAGCCACAGACATCTAGAGACGATGGCACCCGACGTCAGGCTCCCCGCCCAAGGAAGATAGTAGCCGATATTGGACGTTCCCCACCATGTTTGCGCCCAGCGCGGGGAGCCCAGGCTGAGTCCGAAGACGGGGAGGATCCAGCTGTGCTCCTTGGACAGCGCGCGGAAGACAAAGAGAATGAGGACCCAGAGGACGATGAAGAAGCCGACCACAAGGATGACGACCTCCCATGTCTTGGCGTGTTTGGAGGACCAGAGGAACGACCAGTTGCGGCCGAAGGCGGCGGCGAGGAACCAGTTCTGCACGATGACCATGAAGAAGAACCAGAGTACGATGCGGCGACGGAAGACGGACGTGTAGAAGAAGAGGATCCGACTTGGCGCTTGGCGGTAGTATTTGGGCAGACCCAGGGCAAGGAGCACGCCGATGAAGAAGCATACCGCGGCAATCGGCATCACTACGGCAGTGAGCCTCCAGGTGCTCAATGCGAGGGTGGACACGCCTCCAATTTCCGTGGCGGTGACCTTGGAGCTCCAGTACCATAGCGCGACGGTGTACAGCTGTGAAATTCCCTGGATGAGACTGGCGCGGAACATCCAATCCTTGACGGGGACGGCGCCCTGGTCGCCGAAGTTGAGGGCAAAGAATAACGAACCGCTGGACGACGCCGCGGCATAGACGCCTGCAGCGACATTTTGAGCCCATCCTCGCCCAACTGCCGACAGTCCAAAGGGAGAGACGCCGATTACGATGAACGCCAGGCTGTAGATGAACCATGGGAGACTAAGAACGATCACCGCTGGCAGACGGGCGTACATGAACCACCATGCGATCGATGAGACGCAGTAAATCGCTGCGATCACGTACAACTTGGTTGCCGTCTCGCCTACCTGGCCGACCAGCAGGGTAATTTGGGCGGAGTTGGTCGCAATGATCTGTCCAAGGCCCAGGAACAGAGCGTAGACGGGCCAGTTTCCGATCCGTCGTCGCATGAATCGCTGGACGGCCATAGGGCGCCTATACCCCAGCCGGGAAAGCCAGCGATCGATCTCGTCGGAGTCACTCGGGTCCGAACCGGCCGTGGCGGTCGAGAGGCGGTTATACTGCGTCTCATGGTCGAGCCGGTCGGGACTGGCCGAAGAAGAAATAGACTCCTTGGCGTGGTGTTTCTTCAGCTGCGCGTCGTTGTACATATTATAAAACTTGCGCTCGCTCTTCATCAAGTACGTCTCGATGCAGCAGTCCGTCATCGAGTTCTTCTTGTCCAAGTTGTTGAGCAGTTGCTCGAACCGCCGGGTGAAGTGGCCCATGCTATCCGTAAAG